TAGGGAAAATAAATCCTCTTTTAGTTTCTCATTATGGACTGGTCTCTGCCAATATCATGAATATAGGACTGCAAAAGATAAAAGGAAAGAAGAGGTGTAGCAATTCAGACAGGCAGAAAGACCAAAAGGAAAAAGAAGCTGGACAAAATGAGTCTGGTATTTACATGGCTATTAGGAAAGAGATGAAGAAAGAGGAATTAGAACCACTAAGGTGCTTCTATCCAATCAGGATAGGAGAAAAAGCAAAAACCTGAACTTTCCCTCCCTTTACATCTGGTCAAAAGAATGTGCCGGTTACAGCCAAACAAAAAGTCAAGAGAAAGTGAGAAAATAGACAAGAAAATAGTGAGAGGAAGCAAGAGCTTTTCGAGTGTGTGTGTACACATGCTTTATGTGAATAAAGCAGGGGAGTGGGGGGATATTTAAATAATGAAAACAGGAAGGAAAAAATGCCAAGTATTACAGAAGCTATTATTTCCCTCTAAGAGGTTTCAAAAATTAATCTAGGGCCAGCTCGATGGTGTGCTGGAAATGTGCTGCTCCTGGAAAGCTGGATCTTACACGGTGACTGCAATTTGAACCCGCAGCCCTGTTGGTCTCAAACACACATGCGCATGAGTACCCGAGAGCTGACAGGATGGACGGCTGGGTGAGGAGATAATGGCACAACTGACGGGGTGGAGCGTACTCTCTCTGTGCCGTTGTCTTTCTCACATGCACAGTCTTTGAACAAAGGGGAAAAACTAAACAAAAATTAATCTACCTGATTAGCTGGCTTAAATGATACTGGAATTAAAAGGATTTGTGAGTTAAGTTAATCAAAAGTATTATTAACAAAAACATTTCTAAAAAAATTGTAAAACTATAAAAGAAAATAATTATAGCCCATATGTCAAAGCATATAATAAATATAAAGGGACAAGTAGCAATTAATGTATGACAGACGCTAAGAGACTCGGATGTTCATCACTACATTATTAATCAACATAGTAGTGCACATCCACGAAACATGAAAAATAAAAGAATATAAATGCAGAACTATGGTTGCAAGTTCTACATTCAGGGATAATAGAAAATGGAGTGTGTACTATGTAGTGTACAGAATGAAATATAATAATGAATTGTTAAAGTATGAAAATTACAGAAGACTTTAAAAATATTTTAATTTGCCTCATGCTGCAAATAGTTTTCTAATAGTCATATAGTTTTCTTAAGTTACAAAAGCAAACAAACAAACAAAAAAAAAAGAGCTTATGGGATCTTAGGAAATATATAAGAAATATATGAAAAATAAGAAATAGAAAATTATTTGTTGATGATAACATGTATGGTAATATCCTTGATTGAGCCAATATACACTGTATACCGGATGGAAAATCTCATTGTGTATACTGTATTGATGTACAGTGAGTGACTGTAAATAAATAAATAAATAGGAAAGACAAAAAAAGAAATGGAAACATGAATTTAGGATAGAGTTCTATGAGAAAAAAAAATTAATCTTAAATTATGAACACTTAATAAGAAAAAGGAAGAAATAGGAAATATAATATCTAAACATGTGGAAGTTACATAGGACTGTGTGGGTAGCATGTGCATAACCTACACCTTTTTTATAATTAGAATGTATATCAAAGATCTTATAGATATAAAAAGGTGTTAAGAAAAAGATGCTAAAATACTATGTAAATAAGCTAGCACTTTGTTGATTTTCCTTAAATTATTTCACTTTTTTATGCAGAGGAAATATGACCAGTGGGGCCATTCAAAGGGGTATGATTAAGGCAGCTGGATCCCACATGGCCAGCCTCACAGTCTGAGTCCTGGACCTCGTTGTTTCAGAAACATGCTGGATATGAGTGCACTAGCACCCAAAATCCTGAAAGGAGGGAAACATGGAGGAGAGGAGATTACAGTGACCACAGTCTATGGGGATGGCTTTCTCACTTCACCTCTTTCTCTCTCTGTCTCTCTCTGGTGAGCACACATCCTCTGGCAAATTGAAAAAAAAAAATAGGAAGGAAGGAAGGAAGGAAAAAGATAGATGACTCCATCTTTCTCTGTATATCACTATTTTCTAAGGAGCTTTAAAATACCTTTGGCCTGAAAATGCAGATTCCTTCCCTTCTCTGACTAAATAGTTTATCAATATTATAAAAACATTATCTTAAAATATCTAAAATCATGAAATTTAAAACCTTTAAAAAAAAAAAACAAGGTATGAAATTAGTGATAAATTAAGGAAGTACAGTACCTGGCGACTCATGTTGGCCGGAGTGAACTGGTTAAGAATGGGTTGCAAGCCTGTTGCATCAGCAGCTGTTCTATAATCCAATCGATACTCCATAAAAATAGTGATTGGAGTGAGTTTGTCTCTAAATTCAGATTCATCCTAGAAATAGAAAAGCTTTAAATGAATGATAACATCAACCTAAACTATCTGGACAAATCCAAAGGACTTATCAAAAAGCCAACTGTATTCATGTGGATCCCTCAATTATGCAAAAACCTCTGGAAAATTATACTTATGTAGTGATAGATTATCCGTCCCCCAAAAGATTATGGTTATCCAGCCAGAAACTTCATCAATTTTTGCTTTATAATATAATATTTGACTCACACAAAAAGGTACCAGGCCTGTTCATAAAATCAGCGTCACGTGAGCCAGCCCTGTTGCCTAATGCTTAAGAAAGCTGGATCCAACATGGTTGACTACAGTTTGAATCCCTGTCCTAGTGGCTTGAAAAACAAAGCAGTTGCCTGTACATGCATGTCCAAAATTCCAAACGGATGGAGAAATAGAGGATAAGGGATTGTGGCATGACCACACTCCACTAGGAGTTGCTTTCTCCCTCTCTTTCTCACAGTCTCTCTTTGGTGAGTGTACGTACTCTAAGGTAATAATAATAATTAAAAAAAAGGCAAAAAAGCAACTAATATTCTTGGAAATAATGAGAATTCTATACTGTTATCTCTTCAGTTGCTTATATGCTCCTTTCTCTTTATTTTACTCCAATTTCATTTTCGGTAGTTACTACTATCCTAAATTTTTAAGTTTGTAATTCTTTCATTCATTTTAAATAGTTTTACTATACTGTATATGACCCTAAAAATGTTTTTCAGCTTTCCTTTTCCTTCTCTGTTTATTTAAAAAGAGGATCACATGTAGTCTTCTGTGACTGGCTTTCTGTCTAACACTCAAAGAGTTATCCATGCTATTGAATGTAGCCTAACTTAAGTTTTACTGCTAAATAATATTACATGATTAAAAAAAATCCAATTTACTTAACCATTCTCCTGTTCTAAGTTATTTTTAGGATGTTTCAGGTTTTTTTGTTTGTTGTTATTACAGAAATTGCAGTAATAATTATTCTTATTTTCAAGTATATTTATCAGTTCTATAATACCAGAATATAATGGCATCTATATTTTCCAAAGTCTCCATAACAATTTACACTGCCATCAGCAATGTATAAAAGTTCCTGTTTGGGCGAATCAGTGGCACAGTGGTAATGGACCTGAATTCATTGCTGGGACCTCACTGAGCACACGAGGTGTACATACATGCCTGTGATCTGGGCTGGCTGGGAGTAGGTGTGGAATGTGGCACAGGCAGCCTATCAAGGTGCTTATCTCTGTTTCTGTCTCATGGAATAAATGAATGAATGAATAAAATATACAAGAAAGCATTCCCATTAATTCATATCTTGGCCAATTTACAGGTATTGGCAGAGCTCATTTCAATATAAGATCATATTTCTTTACAGTCTTAATTTGAGGTATTTGTCTTGCTTATTTCTAAAATCACAGACAATAATTTAATCAAAACCTTTTCATATACTAAGATGGTCTTTTTTAGTCTATTCATGTGGTAAGCTACAGGTCTAGTCTTTTAATGTTCATTCACTTATATAAATTAGATCCAATTTCTTTAAAGGTATTTTGTATAAACTGCTAGGATTTAGTTTGCTTGTATTGGTTTAGTAATTTTGTATCTATTGTAACACTGAAATCAAATTTTTTCCCCTGGAACTCTTTGGCTCAGGTAACTACTACAGTGGGTTCAAAAAATGACTAAAACGTGTTCTGTTTTTCTATTCTTTCAAAGAGTTTATTTTAAAATTGAAATGTCTTGCTCTTCAACGTTTGGTAAATATTGCCTATAAAACCACCTGGGCCATGTATTTCCTTTGTGCAAAGATTACCTGTGAATTCAATTTTCTAAATAGTTAGAAGATTATTTAGGTTCTGTTTCTCCTTAGGGTAGTTTTACTATATTTTTCCCTGTTTTTTTTGTCTAGGTTTTCCAATGTATTAAACAAGCTTATTTATAATATTCTATTTTTTAAACCCTCTCAATTCTTAACACTGTGGAGTTTTTGTAAATCTCTCATTTAATTAAAATAGCATTTAAGGCCATATATTTACCCTCATATTATGCTTATGTGATAGCCTATACATTTTGATACGTAACATTTTAGTTATGACTCAGTCACAAGTAAACTTCCACTATCCTCTTGTTTTTGACCCATAAATTATTTAAAATTGCATTTTCCAATTTCAAATTTATCTCTGTTACAGATTTATAAAAATTGTGTTGTGATCAGATAACACATTTTCTGTATCACTCTTTTGAAATTTGTTTAGGCTTCCTTAAGCCCAGTTTTTAGATTCTTTAATTTTGGGGTGTTCCATACAGGTTTGTTAAATCAAGCTTTTATTTATTTATTTATTTTTATTATTTTAGGTACCAGCAGAGGGCATAATGGTTACATCACTGGAATCCCACGTAGTAGACTCCTGGACCTGGTGGCTCAAAACTCATACTGGGTACATGTGCATGTGTGCCCTAAATCCTGAGAGAATGGAGAAGAGGGATTGTGGCATGACCATCCACCCTGAGGGGTAATGTCTTATTTTCTGTCTCTCTGTATCTCCAGAGAATAGATATACCCTATGGCAAAATCTCTCTTAAAAAATTATTTAATTTTTATTTATTATTATTATTTCTTAATTTGCCTGGGGGTAGGGAATGAGATAGCAAGCCACCAGGACCGGGACTCAAACTGTGGTCAGTCATGTGGCAGTCCAGCTCCTAAATGAAGCTTTTAATTGTGTTATGTCTTCTAAATCTGTACTAATATTTTTATTTTCTTTTTAAAAATTTCATCCATTATTTCTTTAAATATTTTATACAAATTTATACCCTATAACTTATAATTCTAAGATCTCAGGCACTTGCAGGTTTAAAAGCTGCTAATTTTTTTCCTAGTGGCTTTTTTTCTTTTTTTTTTTGTTTTTTTTTTTTGGTTCCTAGTGGCTTGTTTCCTTGTGTATTTAGTTGTTTTTTTTCTTTTTTAATGAATTCATATTTTGATTGATCTTAGGCTGTGTATGGGAGGGGGCCCATACTGGATTGTTCTCCTGAGAAGCTTTGCATTTGCTCTTGGTAGAATCAGGGTGCACATCTGTCCTGGGAACATATTAGTCTTATTCAATTGTCTAGACTTAATGCAGTAATGTCAGGCTGAGACCCCTGGCTTGCAGAAGGCCCCAGCAGCATCTGAATCCCTGTGCTGGTAACTGCAGTTACTGCTCACCTTCTCCCTAGACTCCACCCATGCAAGCAATCCTGGCTCAGAGGTTTGCCTACAACTCAATTCAGATTTAGCCACTTGAGTTTTCTAGTTGATAATTCTTTTGGACCCTGGAGATTTCTTTACTGTCTTAAGAGCCTAGCAATATTTTAAAAGCACATTTATCATAATTCATTCAGTAGTGTTGTTGGGGAAGACCATCTGGGACATGCAATCTGCCAGTAGTAGAAATCCTTTATTCAAGATTGACACTTTAAAAAACAAGATATCCTCAAGTATATTTTTCTATATGCTTTTCTTTTGATTTGATGTCAATCTGCAGAAAGTAAAAATCATTCAGAAGAAAAAAAGAAACGACCAAAAAGAAAAGATAATGGAGCAGAAATGTGTATCTTACCCGCAGATAGGCTATCAATTCCTCACACTGCATCTGCCCCCCCCTGGAAATAGTCATATTCTTGGAGTGACCTGAGGACCTGCTATGGAGAAACAGCGCTCGTCGAATTGCTCCCTTTTGCTTGAGTTTATCCAAAAGAAGCTCCACCTGGAAGTCTATACAAACCAAAGGACTTATAAACAACATATTCTTTATGCACATCCATCTGTCCTAGATAGCTAGAATTTTTATTAAACACAGCTATGCACTCCTTAAGAAATAATTTCCTTCTAATTTATTAAGAAGGTCTGTATAGTGGTAGTAAGACTACAACATATTATTTCTGAACAAAAAATTAATAACAAGTAATTAATCTAATTATCCCCAAAGTAATGTCATTACACAATGTCAAATAATGATGCAAAATAATTAGCAGAGATAGGAGAAATTCTTTTTTTTTGGGGGGGGGAGGTTTTTGCTATATGGAGCGTGCGATCGCCAGAAAGACAGAGAGATAGAAAGCAAGAAAGCACCCCCCAGGGGGGAAGGCCACACCGCAATCTGTTCTCCTCCATTCTCCTCTCGGGATCTTGGACATGCACGCACATGCGCCCAGCATGAGTTTAAACTACCATGTCCGGGACTCAGACAGTGGTCGACTACATGGAAGTCTAGTGACATAGCCATTACGCCAACTGCTGGTCCCGAGATCGGAGAAATTATGTCTTAATTTAAGTTGAGAGTGGGAAGTCCAGAGGATGAAATATGTGAATTAAAACTTCCACCATTACTCCAAGCGGCAAGACTCTTGCCAATTTTGATTAAGTATTTACCAATATGCACTCATACAATTATGTATTGAGCACTATGAGAAATGAACAATTTGCATCAATTACAATTCTGTATCTGATAAGCTACTGTATCAAATTGTCAGATAAAATAAGTCTGTCAGGGGACCAGCAGTTAGGGTAATGGCTATGTCGCTGAACTCCCACGTAGCCGACCGTGGTTCAGGTCCCGGACCGGGTGGCTTAAACTCACGCCGGACCCGTATGCGTACATGCCTAAGATCCCAAGAGGAGAATGGAGCAGAAGGGACTGTGGTGTGGCCATCCCCCCGGGGGCTGTGGGGGGGGGTGATTTCTCACTTTCTGCCTCTCTGTCTGTCTTTCTGGAGAGTGCACGTGCCCTATAGCAAAAAAACAAAATCTCCAAAAATAAATAAATAAATAAATAAGTCTGCCAGAAGCAAGTGACCAAATAAAGTGTAACAGATCAAGAAACATCATAAATGTGTAGCCAACAACTTGCAACACAGTTGCTAGGTTTACAGCCTTCTAATAATCAGTTTTTTAAGTAGCTTCTTTAAAGAAAGCAAGAGCACAAATCTTTAAAACTGTAAGCTTCTTTCCAAAGTTTGGAAAAACTAAATATTGACTTTCATTTCCAATTTAGATGAACAAAGTCAGGGTGATTTTGTTTCAGATTCTGTTCTATCCAGTGGTTTCTCAAACACCTGTATATGCTCCTGCCTCAGGCCTCTGGAAATTGCCATTTCCTCTGTGCAAAATATTACTTCATATATTCCATGCCTCCCTTTCCTTCTGGTCCTTACTGAAAAGATATCCTCCAGCGAGACTTTGCTTGGCTACCCTATGTGAACTTCCACACACAAACATATACTCAACAGTTTCGGTCCTCTTCTTAGCTTTATCACTATCTAACATACTGAAAATCTTGACAATAGTTATTTACACTCCGACCTTGCACTGAGGACCACATAAAGCTTTTTAGAAAATGAAGAGTAGAGTAGCTGTGGATTGAATTTAATGACCATTCCCCCTACCCCCACCCCTTACTTCTAAACTGCCCCTACTCCCAATATAGATAAGATGTAGGCTTTCCCAGGACACGAAATGTAAACTTCTCAGTAGATTATCTACACATAAGCAATAAAACATATTCTTCCAGAGTTCATTTATCTCTCATCGGTAACTGCTTAACTTTCCAAAGGCCATAGGCTTATCATTCCAGGGGCTATTTTGCTCACAATGTCCACAATAAATGTATTATTTCTGAAGTGACTTATGTTACCAAACAAAGAATTATGTTTCAATTAGAAATGCCTTTAAACATAAACATTCAAAGAAAAAAAGAGTAACAGCAATTTGTTAACTATTCATATATCCTAAAAACTTTTTTAGGTGCTGTGTGTATAACATCATTGAAATACTATGATTTTTCTCAGGGTACTTACTGAGTTTCCTGGGCAATGCACCTTTGCCATCTGCCTTTAAGCAGAACCTGACATTAAAACTGTAAGAAAAACAAAACATAAATCCTATAATCCAATGTAGACATAGTCTTGAAAAATCACCCAAATTTCACATTTTTAATACACAGTTTATGCTGAAATTCCTCACATCTTTATTCAACTCTTAATATTATTAAAACAGGAAACTACACATAACTTATTCTTCAGTAATTCAGCACAGTTCCTTTCATGGTACTTTGGTGACAAAAATAATTTCTTAACTTTCTGTCAAGTTGGTAGAACCTGTTAATACATCTAAATGGGGCAAATGACAGTTCAGATTTACAATAATGTCTCATTTAGTAAAAGGAACCACTAAAGTGTCTTTGGTTACAAGCTCCCATAGAACAGTGTCTTTCATAATTTATTAATGGGTCATGAAATCAAGTCAATGCATTGTGTTCAGAATTTTACAAATAAATACACATCAAAACTGACTTAAGTATTGAGGTTAAATATGACTTCAAGCAACAACTATATGTATGCTGACTGGATTATGATGCATAATGTATTTTTTACTATGGGGGACAGTCTTTGAAAAGTTCGTGGAAAAAGCAATATTATAAATAGTATGTACTGATTTCACATTTTTTTGCACTAAAATAAATTTGTGTTTTAATTCCATTTTTCTCTTAACATTTTTCCCCACTAGAGGGCACATGTGTTAATCAGAGAGACATACAGAGAGGGAGAGAATGGTCACAACATAATCTCTTCTCCATTTCTTCCTCCTTTCTGGATTTTGGAAATACAAGCACATACACCTGGTTATTCAAGCTCCCAAGCTTGGGAAGCAAATGTCATGGTCAGTCATGTGGGATCCAGCTGGTTTAATCACTAGGCCATGGTGCCGGCTCCTCCATGAACTTCTAGAAGTACTCTTGTATGTGCCATAGTCAAAATCGTATGAAAGCTACTGCTCTAGTTAACGCATCTGAACATAACAGAACTTGAGAAACAAGGGCCAGAGAAGAATTCAGACATTACTTACGAAAAAATACTGTATATTTCTTTGAAAACTAGTACAGGTAGATGACCAATATACTAGAGCAAAATAATATTTTTCACTCAGCTATTCACAGATACCAAATATGAAAAAAAGCTGTATCTTTTATTGTTTTTTAAATGATTTTAGTAACTCATAATTATAATTATACAACCCTTCCTTTTTTTTTTTAAAGAATTACTTTATTTAACTTTAATTATTATTTATTTTAATTTGACCAGAGAGGGACAGAGTGAAAGACAGAGAGAGAGAGAGAAAGTGAGAAAGCAAGTCACCAGGTTCAGGACTCAAACCATGGTCAGCTATGTGGGAGTCCAGCGCCCTTAACCACCATGCCACCTGCTGGCCCCATCTTCCTGTTTTCTATGTCCCTTAGGTTAGCTTTGGTAACATAATTTTCTTTTTTTTTAAATTTACATTTAATCCCTGTCCCTCGTTACACAGTACAACATGGCTTTCCCCAGCATGAATATGGTCTCGTTACACAGTACAACATGGCTTTTCCCATCATGTATATGGTGCATGTGAGTCAAGTCAAAGACACTACCATATATATTATCATCGGCACATAACCACTCATTTTATGTCAATTAAAAAGACTATCATTTAAGTAGTAAAATGTTCATGGGTCTGTTTAAATATATTTGAGTCTGACATCTTATTAGTCTTCCTTCTTTTTGAATATATTCATTGGCCATGAGCAATATTTTGTAAAGAGGTTTTTGCTATAGGGTGTGTGTGCTCACTGGAGAGATAGAGACAGAGAAAAGAAAGGTGAAAAATCACCTCCCAGTGAGGACAACCAGGTCACAATCCCTTCTATTCCATTCTTCCCTTGGGGTTTTGGTAATGCATGTACACGTGCCTGGCATGAGTTTCAAGCCGCTGGGTCCAGGACTCGAACAGCAGTCGACCATGTGGGAGACCAGTGTCTTAATCACATCATCAGCTGCTGGCCCCATCATACACAATTTCTTTAAACAATGAATTTTACACTAGTTTGTAGAGTATTTTGGAGCCTTCCTTATGTTTTTTTTATCTGTTCTCCTTTATACTGTTCCTACTGTATGACCAATAACATGAAAACAGAATGTACCACAGAAACTGCTACAGCACTATTTTAGGGCCCCAGCCATCTCGTTCACTTTAAATGATTCTTAGCATGATTCATAATAATAACTAATACTAACAAATACACTTACCAGGAAACTTTGACGGCTGTCCCAGGCAGAGGGCAGGTTTTATTGTCTTGATTTAAAATGCTAGGGTATACTTCAAGGCCAGCATTTACTGTAATAACTGGTCTGGCCCTGGTTTTAAAACAAAATGAGAGAAAAGAAAAAGTTAGAAGTTACAAACTATATTAGATTAGGCATTTTAGGCTAACTTGCCTGCATAAGCAGCACAATGTCTACTAATGCATTGTTGTTCGTAATATCAAAAAGAATAGAACCTAAGGACCAGCAGTTAGCGTAATAGCTATGTCGCTGGACTCCCATGTAGTCGACCGCGGTTTGCGTCCCAGACCCAGTGGCTTAAACTCACACCGGGCACGTGTGCATGCGTGCCCAAGATCCCAAGAGGAGAATGGAGGAGAAGGGATTGCGGCGTGGCCATCCCCCCTGGGGGGTGATTTCTCGCTTTCTATCTCTCTGTCTCTCTCTGTCTGTCTGTCTGGTGAATGCACATGCCCTATAGCAAAAAAAAAAAAATACCTCTCAAAAAAAAATTTTTCAAAAAAGAATAGAAACTAAATGGGGAATGACCAGCTCTCTCAGTTTGCCCAAGACTGTTTTAATTTTACTATTGGAGGTTCTGCATCCTCAGAAGTGACGTAGATCCAGAAAAAGTAGGACAATGCATCAGTATATATGAATTTGGTCTGTTAAAACAAATAGTTAAATAAGTTCTGGGGTATTCTACTGTAATGCAGTACAGGTGGGAATAGCCATAAATCCATCTGTGCTGACTCAGGTAGCCTCTATAGCAATTGCCAAGATTTTCATCGGAGAGAAAAATACCACCTATGTATAAAGGATTCCTACAGACACACCTAGACATCGAATACATCTGATAATCTCTTCTTAGTTTGTGCCATAGGGCATGTGTGCTCACTGGAGAGAGACAGAGACAAGCAGAAAGTGAGAAATCACCCCCTGAGGTCCATGCCACAATCATTTCTCTTCCATTCTTCCCTAGGGATTTTGGGCATGTGTTTACATGTGCCAAGATTTTCAGGCATAGGGACCAGCAGTTAGCATAATGGCTATGTCGATGGATTCCCATGTAGTTGACTGCGGTCGGCGTCTCAGAACCAGTGGCTTAAAACTCACGCTGGGCGCGTGTGCGTGCATGCCCAAGATCCCGAGAGGAGAATGGAGGAGAAGGGATTGTGGTGTGGCCATCCCCCCTGGGGGGTGACTTCTCGCTTTCTGTCTCTCTGTCTCTCTCTGTCTGTCTGGCAAGCGCACATGCCCTATAGCAAAAAAAAAAAAAAAAAACTCTCTAAAAAAAAAAAAGATTTTCAAGCATAGAGGGCCGGGACTCAAAACTGTGGAGTCTGCTATCAGGATCCAGCTACCTTAACCTCCATGTCACCTGCTGGTCCTGATACATCTGTTTTTTTATTTTGTTTTGTTTTGTTTTTTAATGTACAGGAAACTTCTGATAGGATATACTAATAAACTAGTAATTAGTGTGAGACGAAGTGTATTTTTTCTTGTATGCCCTGTTTGTACTGTTTGTTTTTTTATCACATTGTATACTATTTCATTAACAGTAATTCAGAAAACTAAAACAATAAATTAAAATAAAGGTAGTTTTTCAATGTTCAGGTGCACAGGCACCTGTGAAAAATACAGTAAGATCAGGTCAGTGTGCCTGGTGAAATCTCTGAGTTGCCCTTATAACTTAAACTAAGAAACCCATCACTAACTATAACACAACACCAATGTCAGCTTTCCTGTCATGTATAAACTCAGCCCAGAGAAACAAAAACATCTTAATCTACTTGGAATGTCAGTTGATATACTAAGACAGGAGGAATCAGTAAAATACAGAGAGTATCTGGGAATATATGTGAAAATAGAAAACTTGAGATATAGGAACTTATACATATTGCTCTAATAAAAACATTCATTTTGGAATACAACATACACTGCTTTTATGGCCACAGACTAGGAGATACCAGTACCAAGTTAATTTCCTACCTCCTATAGGAAAATGTAAACCTATACAATTTTTAAAAACATGGCAGAAGTAAACCTGGAGAGAGAAAGATAAAGAAGAAGAAGAATTTTAAAAGTGAGAAATTACCCCCTCGGGGGGATGACCAAACCTCAATCCCTTCTTAATTCTCCTCTTGAGATTTTGGGCGTGTGTGCACATACGCCCAGTGTGATTTTCAAGCTGCCAGGTCAAGAACTCAAACCACAAAATCTGTCATGTGGGATCCAGTGCCTTAACCTCCATGCTATCTGCAGGCCCAAGAATGTTTTTTAAATTGAAAAAAAAAAAATCTATAGAGGCTGGCAGGTGACATGGTGGTTAAGGTGCTAGACTTCCACGTGGCTGGACCATGATTTGAGTCCCAGATCTAGTGGCTTGTTCTCTCACTCTACCTCTCTCAAAAAAAAACCCTCTCTGTCTCTCAAATTTAAAATATTAATTAAAAAATAATAACAATAAATAAAATTAAAGGTCAAAATTAAATAAATTTAATTTTAAAATAACGATAAAAATGTATTAAATTTTAATAAGTTAAATTTTAAAATAATAACAATAAATAAAATTTTTTTAAATCTATAGCTTCCTCTCCCTTAATATAAATATTATTGGGTCATCAGGAAAGTCATGATGCATAAATATTATTGGGTCATCAGGAAATTCATGATGCATTTTTTGCATGGAAAAGCAGAGAAATACATCATGACTTTCCTGATGTTATAATATTTTCTGTTGCTAATCTGAACAGAAAGAATGAACAAAATTTATCATTACTTCAAGAATAGTAGCTAGGGAACCAGCAGTTAGCGTAATGGCTATGTTGCTGGACTCCCATATAGTTGACCGCGGTTCGCGTCCCGGACCTGGTGGCTTAAAATTCATGCCGGGCACATGTGCGTGCGTGCCCAAGATCCCGAGAGGAGAATGGAGGAGAAGGGATTGTGGTGTGACCATCCTCCCTGGGGGGTGATTTCTTGCTTTCTGTCTCTGTCTCTCTCTGTCTGTCTGGCGAGCGTACACGCCCTATAGCGAAAATCTCCCCCCCCAAAAAAGAATAGTAGCTAAATCAAACACTGGCATTTAACTAAAATGCTTCCAAATAATTCAGAATATCCCTGTATTACAGGATATGGAACATGCTCACCTGTATAAGACCGCTCGATCTACACCAAATGCTCCAACAATTAAATCTTAAGAGAGAATGGAAAAAAATCACATTAATAGTAAAAATGATTTTTAAAACTTAAATACCATCCTATAAAATTTTTAGTGGACATCAAAATCATTTACTAAGAGGTTATAACGTTTCTAGGGTTAAAATATATGAAAACTGTAAATAAGCCCTCATCAGTGGCAGTGCTCATCATAGTCTTTCATTCAAGTAGTAAGAATGGCTATTAGTAAAAATGGCAAAGTAAGGAAGTCCACTCCCCCAAAACATACATATTACCAAAGGAATAAGCTTTACAGCTACCTATGAACTGTACAATTTCATTCCAAGAAAATTGGTTTTAGTTCTCTTATTTCAAAAACTAAACAGAACAGAAATGCGCACTACATGTATACTGACTATGATAGCAGCCAGCATTCAAATCACCGAGAACAGAATGAGTATTTATGTGTAACTGGCAGAACTGGTTCACAGTGTAGGGGGGAAAAAATCACATCAGAACTCTGTTTCATGTATCATTGTCAAGCTATTACATGACCAAAGTTTATTTTAAAAGATATCCAAAGTATATACTTTAGACACGGCAGTTCTAGAATTTTGTCCTAAGGAAATACTAGAAGTAGGTACCAGAATTATTCACGAAGATATACGTGCTCTAAAATAAGGTAAACTAATAGATGATACAGTAACTTGTTAAAATGAGACATAGAAAATCCATCCCATATGACCAACTACGGTTCAAATTCTGGCCCAAGAGACTTGAAAAAATATGTCAGGGACAAGCATGTGTGCCCAGGATCCTTACAGGATGGAGAAATGGAGGGAAAAAGGATTGTGGCATAAGCAGGCTCTGTTGAGGAATGCTTTCTCTCTCTCTCTCTCTTTCTCTCTCTCTCTCTCTCTCGTGCACATGTACACTTTGGGGTGAATGTTTGGGAAAAAAAGGAGTATCTGCTTCGATTTTAGGTCCATCAGTATGGTCCAAAGTGTAAAAGAGCTATAAAAAGGCCTTGCTTGCTCTACTGGCTCAACCCAATGAGCAACCTTGGGCAAATTACCTTTCTCCATCTCTTTTCACATTCCAGAATATGATAAAATGAGCTAACCTAGCTCATATGCCTTATAAGCCTTATTGGGAAAATTAAATAATATCTTTATTTTACACCACAGTAATTAGTCAAGTCCATCAATTTTAGATGATTAAAAATAAAGACAGCTATTAATAATATTTAAAAACTTAAATGAACCTCTAACTTTTGCTTACAGCTTCTACAAAGTTTTTCCCCTAATATTTCATTACAGACTTCAAGATGACAAAAGAAATTCAGAGAATGTGTTTCATACTGTACACTCCCAGGAAATAAAGCTGACTTTTCGTCAACTGTCCCTGAGTAATGGAACAATGCCTTGAATATAGAAGAGGTTTGTCAATACATAAAATATCAAATGAATATATTAAATGCAAATCAAAAGGACAGTAATTAATAGTCTTTGCTATTAGGATCGAAAAGCATAAGCTCTATACATATTGGTAGAAAAGCACCTGGATATCCATTTTTGTCTATATCCGTGGCTCCTTTCATGGAATAGCCAAAGCTTGGTGGCATGCTCCGAGCAGCCCACTGCCCTTCAAGGATTTGAGATGGGACCGCATTCAAGCCCGTTGATCTTCCATTGAAGATATAAACAAGTCCTTTTTTATCTTCACCCCCATATGGAGCAGCAATTGCAATATCTGTGGAGGAGAATCAGAAAAGTAAGGAGAAGAAGATGGATGAAGAAAGAGGGGAGAGGCACAGACAGAGAGAAGAAAGTCTTAGTAATTATAATTAAATATATAAAGACTTAATATTTATAGAACCCCTTTATCATGACAAATATTCAAAGTTCAGTAAGGTACTCTTTATTTAAAAGCCACAATCTAATTCAAGAAGATTCAAGCCAAACTGTAGAAATGGCATTAATTTGGAGTCAGATATTCTGAGTCTGACTTTAGACAAATCATTTAACCTTTCTGGACCTTAAATGCTTCATCTTTACAACTGAGAAACAAGGGGATGGGAAAAGGTTTAAGTGGGCCCCCTAAAAATTCATGTGTTCAGCAACTGTAACGGGATTAAAAAGGTAAAAACTTAACCTTATTATAGTATAGAAAGGTGGGGATTAGTGATTGGGTGGTTAGGGTAATATCTCTATGATTTAGCTCTAATGGGTATATAAACAGAGGGAATGAGACCAGAACAGTAGAGAAGCCTATACAAATGCAACCACGCTCTGCCCTGCTGTAAGTTCTACCTTCTTCCTTAGGTGATGTCTCTGGACTTTGTAGTCAAAAGCACTCCGAGTCAATAAACCCGTTTCTATATGCATCATCTGTCTCAGGTATTTCTGCTAGCAATGCAATAATGAACTAAGATACAACCATACCTGTTTCAATTTCCTTAATGTACTCAAATTATTTTATGCTTTCTCAAGGATATATCCCCTGAGATGCCAAAGATACCTTGATCACTCATCCTTTGTATGAGATGGCCATGTCTGGGCATATCTCAAACACTGTGAGGATCATGATCTTGTGTTTACATGTTAACATATACACTGCCCCCACTGGATGCTGAGTTCCTTAAAGATATGACAGGCTCAGATTACCAGTCTCATTTCCCGCACCTGTAAGAGTGCGTGGTCTGCAACAAGCTCCAACTGAGGATTTGTTAGCCTTAAAAAACAAGCATTAATGGTCTAGTGACCTGGGAGTTAAGAGAGCCTGATCCCACACGGGGAATTGCACAGTTCAAATCTTGACCTTGGCGGCTTGACAGACACACTGGATGTAACTGCATGCATGCCTCGAATCCCAAACAAGATGGAATAATGAAGACAGGATTGCGGGTTGCTCTTTCTCCCTCTCTCTGTGTCTCTCTGAAGAGCGCATGTGCCCTCTAGTCGTTAAAAAAAAGGTGTTTAAATTATGTAAATAAGTCTCTCTTTTATCTTTTTTTAAACTTTTAAAAAAGTATAACTTCTAAGTTGATGTCTATATAAGAAAGCCTGAAGTGTCTTCAAAATGTTCCTGGAAAATGTGTATTATGCAAAAATGATGAGGGCTTGCCCCTTAGCACAGTGTTTAAGGGAACTGAATCTGAAACTGCCAGCCACAGTTTGAATCCTGACCCCGGTGGCTTGAAAAGCACAGGAGATACATATGCACGGGTCAGAGGCCAGCAAGGACTCCCATGTGTGCCAAAAACCCTGAAGGGATACAGAAATGGAAAAAAAAAAAAGGGTTGTATGATTGAGCCTTTTTGAAAGGTGCTCTCTCTCTCTCTCTCTCTCTCTCTAGTGGGCATATGTACCTTCTGGAGATTAATTAAAAACAACTATAGGACTAGGCTGGTGACATGTTAGGCAGCAAAACTGAACTGCAATTCTAGAAACCACGTGCCCAACAGTGAGTTTGATCTGCAGTCGACCTGAAAATACTCTGGGTATGTATGTGCGTGCTCAGGATCCTGATGAGTTGGAGAGCTAGGAAAATGAAAGCAAGAGTAAAGAGGCCCTCTTAAGGGTGCTGCTCTCTCCATTTCTCCCTCCATGTGCTCACACATACTCCCTCTATCATCAAAAAAATAAAAGTTTTCCTAAGAGGAAAACTGCATGAATTAAAAAATTTTGCACTAAAAGAAACTCACATTTTCAATTTTTTCCACAACTTTTTTTGTTCTTTTTCTTTTTTTGGAGAGGTTTCTGCTATAGGGCACATGCGGCTCACCAGAGAGACAGAGAGAGAGAGACAGAAAGCGAGAAATCACCCCCCAGGGGGAATGGCCATGCCTCAATCCCTACTCCTCTATTCTCCTCTTGGGATCTAGGGCACACACACCCAGCGTGAGTTTAAGCCACGGGGTCCGGAACTCCAATCACGGTCGACTACATGGGAGTCTAGTGACAGCCATTATGCCAACTGCTGGTCCCTCCACGACCTTTTTAAAGTACCCTACTATTTATTAAAATATAATATCCCAACAAACAGTGGCTCTAGTGTTAAGACATTGTTTAATAAAAGTTATTTTTAACCTTTTCTAAACCCTACATTATCTTATACAAACTAATCATCTTTTTGTCTGTCCTGTCAGGAGAGACCTATCTTTTCATGCCATCAGTTTTTTCCTTTGATCATTTTAGTGGCTCTTTTCTGGTTTTCTTCTTTTTCTCTCTCTGTTTTTATGAAGGAGTATTGACAAAAACTGTGCATTGCCCCATTATGTAAAACTGTGGAATGTAATTTTGTTGCTCAGTTTTTCATATTCCTTTTGATAATACCCAGAGTTGTCCTGGTGGAGGTAGGTGAAAGGAAGGAATCTAAAACTATGGGAATGATGATGCTTAATGTCATCAGGTATGAATAAAATAGAGAATATAATGAATAGTGTGTGTGTGTGTGTGTTTACATATATGAATATGCAAATTTTATGCAAATATGGCTCAGATCATTGTTCACTGCAGATATCATTCATGGTCTACTATTTGGAACAATAAGATCCAAGGAGAAACCTTGAGAGACCATAATCATCCTTCACAGTCTCTAGCTCTAAAAGTAAAACCTTTTTGTAAAACTAACATTTTTATTAAAGCCATTGTTGTTTATATTTATTGACAGTCATATACTTTAATAAAAATATAGGAAGCAGAATGAGATGCTGCTCAGGTCATGAGAGTAAAGAAAGTTTCTTTAAAGTGGTGGGAATATCCAAAACACAAAGGTGACAGCAAGTAGGTCCAGGCTCTCCCAGAAAGCCTGGGGACAGGAGCCCAGCTACAGAGCAAAGAACTCATCGACCATGTGCAAGGGAGAAGAGTTCATATTTGCCTCTGCATTTTCTAGGTAGTATTTAGCATCAATAAGTAATGATTTGGTCTGTCCTATGACATCCTTTTTGTCTTTTATTATGAACTTTATACCATAGCACCATTTGATTTATGCTAAGTTCTCTTGGAAGTAAAACTCTTTAAGACTGGGGCTGGCAGGTGGCATGGGGGTTAAGAGCACTGGACTCCCATATGGCCAACCATGGTTCAAGTCCCGGACCTCGCAGCTTACTTTCTCACTTTCCTTCTGTCTCTCTTGTCAAATTAAAATAAGCAAATAAATAAAGTTAAATATATAATCTTTAAGAAGATTTGGAGAAGCAAAATTTATCGTTCAGTAATTTTTAACTAACACTGAAAACTTCTAGGGTTAATCTTCAAGGTGACACTCCCAGTACATGACATATAACTATTCAAAAAGCTGGAGTGGATCTTGAGGCCAAACAACATTTCCTTTTACAATACCACTTGAAACACATTTTTAAAAAAAACTATATTCTTGATGCTTTCTTTTAACATGTAACTTCACTGTTAAGTGGGCATACCCTTATATATTATTGATTATACAAATAAACAATTCATCTCTCCACTCTGTGATTGCTAGAAAGGCTTCTAATGATATTCTTCAAAAATAAAACCCTTGGTAAATTGTAAAATTTGAAAATTTTATAGTAAAGACCAACTTTGCTTCTTAAAGATATAAATGGCTATTGAAATGAGAGTATTATAAAACAACGGGGGTTTTTTTACCCCATTTGTATGCCCCTTGCAACATAACCTTGCTCAGAACATTTTATATAGCCACAACAAAATTAAGGTTTTAAAAATATTCATGACTGATCACACCTTTGCAGCATGCACGAGGGCACTAGCATCAGCACTCCTTGACCATGTGTCTGGGAGCACTTCTGACATTACAGTCAAGTGGACAGCAGAGGGCGCTGCCGCTAAGCAGGACCCAGAGACAGTAACCGGAGCACTTCTGACATTACAGTCAAATGGACAGCAGAGGGCACTGCCGCTAAGCAGGACCCAGAGACAGTAACCCAGCAGCGGGCACTGGGCACCACCAGATGGAAAGTTTCTTTCTGACAAGCTAATTAAGGTGGCAAGTATAGTACTCACGAGTCCATTTTTGAAAACTCTGCTCTGATTATTTACAGAAAAAAAAAGCAATCTGTCCTTAAAAATTGGCTTGTCACTTAATGACTGTGTGTTTCCAGGAAGGTTTGCTCACGTGGATTTCTGCAGATGGGGTTATGGAATTGTTCCCAGGGGACACAGAAAAAGGGACCCACAGTTGCTAAACTTGGATCTTACCATTGAAGCCATCCTGGTCCAGATCTCCCAAAGGAGCTATGGCACTGCCAAATCGGGCAAAGACCTCAAACCCATTCAGCTTTGTTGTCTGGAAGTCTCCCGAAGCTCTTTGCAAAGACACTGAGACCTGCCCCACCTCTTGGAGTTTGCCGTCAGAGCCACGATCCATGAAGAGAGGTGCTCCAATGAACACGTCTGCATAACTAAAGGAACAGACTCATCTCAGCAACGTGACCAAATTCCACCTATTTGTAGACATTTTCTGTCTTAGTAAAACTCAGTTTCCCTATTGATATATCTGTCATGGCCACACTGAAGCCCAACGTGATAACTACTGCAGTTATTTCCATTGCAAGGCTACCTTTAACCTTTTAAGAAACTACGAGAAACTTATAAAACTATTTTTCTTTTAAAGAGCTATTAAAAACAATTATAACCAATGTAGGTTTTTCTAGTATTCATGATTGAGGTTGCTTTACATAGTTTTAAATAGAAAGGAGATAGCAGGAAAGAGACACAAAAACAAACAGGAAAATGTTTAGTTTTAGTGAAGCATTCATAAACATGAGAGGAAAACTGTTTCTGGAAAGAATTTTTGAAACTTACTCATCCCCATTAATGTCAGTGGCAGCTACAGAAAATCCAAAATAGGCAGCCATCTGGATAACAAGATGAAAATGAAATGTTTACATTTCATCCAACTAGCTTAGACAATTCACATTTGTAGTAATATGCATCAAATAGAAAAAAGGTTTTGTTTTTACTCTGCCTACAGTGGTTGAAGCAATTACTTCCCTTTGGTTTATTCTACCAACACAATAATAATCAGATAATGATGTCTGCTTATTTTCCTAGATTTAAGGCCATTCTGCATACATCACCTCAATGCCTTCGATATGTGACACTTAAGTCCAAGTACAATCATTTCTCCTCTCCACTTCCTAAAACATGCTGACACAGACACCCTATCAGAAAGACACATACTAAGACCAGCAGTTAGCGTAATGGCTATGTCGCTGAACTGCCATGTAGCCAACCACGGTTTGAGTCTCAGACTCAGTGGCTTAAACTCACACCGGGCGTGTGTGCATGCATGCTCAAGATCCCAAGAGGAGAATGGAGGAGAAGGGATTGTGGCATGGCCATCCCCCCTGGGGGGTGATTTCTCACTTTCTATCTCTCTGTCTGTCTCTGTCTTCCTGGCAAGCGCACACGCCCTATAGCAAAAAAAAAAAAAACCTCTCCAAAAAAAAAAAATGTACATCCTCAAGAGGGGCCTCTTATGCAGCTAGGGTAACAAATAATCTTTATTTATTTTTTTTTTTTTGGGAGAGATTTTTGCCAGAGGGCACATGCACTTGCTAGAGAGACAGACAGCAAGAAATCACGCTCCAGGGGAATGGCCACACAGCAATCCCTTCGCCTACATTCTTCTCTTGGGATTTTGGGCAGGCACACACCCACACCAAGCATGAGTTTCAGGCTCCACGTCTGGGACTCAAATAGTGGTTGACTATGTGGGAGTTTAGAACCTTAACCACCACGCTGCCTGCTGGTCACAATAATTATTAATAATAGGTAATCATTTGTTTCTCCCTATGTGAAACTACTACTACTCTAAATTTTTAAAAAATATTCATTCATTCATTATTATTATTTTAATTTGTTATAAGCCATGTGTGCTCACCAGACAGACACAGAGAGGGAGGGAGAGTGAGAAAGCAAGACAACAGGTCCAGGACCTGAACCGCAATTGGCCATTTAAGAGTACAGCACCTTCTCCATAACACCTGCTGGCCCTGAAGCTACTACTACTCTAAGAAAATTGTTTAAAAAGATATGGAAAGTTCATTTTTTTCTTCCTATTTTAATTGATTACTTACCAAATGGTTTTGCTTTTCAATTTCATACAGTACAAATGTTTTGGGGTATATTTTGTGCTTATTAAGCATATAGAAAAGGATTGTCCCCTCTACCATAGGAGACCACAAGCCATCATGGACAAAGCAGACTAACTGAAAATAAAGGTGAAAAAGAAAAGTTCTAAAGAGACCCCAACATGCAAAACAAATCTAAGAGAGATGACAGATTAAAGATGAACTAAGGCTGAGCCAGCAGGTGGTGTGGTGATCAAGAGGCTAGATTCCCACACAGATGCCCATGGTTCAGGTCCAGACCTAGCAGCTTGAAAATCATGTAGGGCACATGTGCATGCATGTTCAAAATACCGAGAGACAGGAAGAGGAGGGATTGTGGCATGGCTATCCTCACTAGGGGATGCTTTTTTATACTTTCCTCCTCCCTCTCTCTGGTGAGTGTACATGCCTTATACCAAAAACTTAAGGAAAAAAAAAAAAAAAAGGAACTAAGGTGAAGAATGATTTATTTATTTATTTATTTTTAATTTATGTTTTATTTTTTTTTTTTTGGAGAGGTTTTTGCTATAGGGCACGTGCGCTCGCCAGACAGACAGAGAGAAACAGAGAGACAGAAAGCGAGAAATCACCCCCCGGGGGGATGGCCATGCTGCAATCCCTTCTCCTCCATTCTCCTCTCGGGATCTTGGGCACGCACGCACATGCGCCTAGTGTGAGTTTTAAGCCACCGGGTCTGGGACGCGAATCGCGGTCAACTACTGGGAGTCCAGCGACATAGCCATTACGATAACTGCTGGTCCCAAGAATGATCTGACAAAGTTTGATTAATGGAGATAACAAGAGGGAATGATAAGGGAGATTCCTACAGTGCTATATTTTTTATTTTGGTTGCAACAGCATAATTGAAAAAATGAAAGACATATTCTTCCATATTCAACGACAAGATCAGAACTTATGTGAAAAGTGCACTGTTTGGGGCAGTGCCATTTTGACTGGAATTTAAGAGAATTTTATTCTTGGGCCTTGGTCTCTCAGCATGTTAGGCCTGAAAGTATAAGGATGGTTTTTACTGAGGCAAGTTTTGTTCTATTCACTATGACTGAAAAATTTTAAAACTTACTTATTTACTTATTTTTTTTTTTAATTTTAATTTGCCAGAAGACACACACTCATAGACGACAGAAAAAGAGAGAGAAAGTGAGAAAGCACCCCCAACAGGGAATGGTCACACCACAATCCATTCTCCTCCATTTTTCCCTTCTTTTGGGATTTTAATCATATATACACATATGCCTGGCAAGTTTCTCAAGCTGCCAGGTCTGAGATTTGAACAGGACAGTTGGCGATGTGGGATCCAGTTGCATTAACCACCATGATATCAACTGGTCCCAGTCTCTTAGAATATCTTAGTGAACTTTATTCACCCATTTTCAGATCAAGGTTGTTCAGAGGTAACTGGAACTATAGAAAGTGGATAATAAAACTGCAAATAAAGGGAGAATACTGAGCTTTTTAATTGAAGAATGGTTTAGTTCATGTAACACAAAGTTTGCTTATTACATCTACAGTAAGTACATCTGTGCCGTGCTTTATTTTGTACCTTGTGAAATTTAAAGACACAGATCATTTCTTAAAGAAAAAAATTAGTAAGAAAGAGAGTTTCTATGGTTCTATACGTGTGTAACTTGATTTTGGATTTCCTTAAAAAAACAACAAAACAAACAAAAATAAGCCATAACATACAATTACAAAAAGCTTTCCTTAAAAAAATTAATCTGGTATAAATAAAGGTGAAATATTAAGACTTATAATACTGAATATAATGGAATCAGTAAACTATTTTGATACTTCCAAGAAAAAGTTTAAGACATAAGAAAATGCAGATAATTAAATATTGAGTGAAAAAAAGCAAAATACAAAATTTAAAGTACAGAATAGGGCCAGCTGTGGAGGTGTAAATGGCAGGGTCCCACTGCACCAGGATGGAGCTGCGTAAGAGGCCTAGGTTCAGTTTCTGGTCCCACAAAACCAATCTGGAAACAGTGGCGTGTGCCTGTAATCATAGATAACTGGAAGGCAGGACCAAGGGATCACAAGGACAAGACCCTATCAAAAATAACTATGTTTCTCGGGACCAGCAATTAGTATAATGGCTATGTTGCTGGACTCCCACGTAGTCGATCACAGTTCGAGTCCCGGACCTGGTGGCTTAAAATCACACCGGGCAGGTGTACATGCATGCCCAAGATCCCAAGAGGAGAATGGAGGAGAAAGGATTGTGGCCATCCCCCATGGGGGGTGATTTCTCGCTTTCTGTCTCTCTGTCTCTGTCTGTCTGGCGAGCGCATGTGCCCTATAGCAAAAACCTCTCCAAAAAAAGGAAACAAAAAACCTATGTTTCTCTTTTTCCCTCTTTCTCTCTTGATCTCTCTCTCCTCCTAAAATTTTTCTAAAAAGATTATACTAATAATTTAGAGTAAACTAATTTTTGCTTACACATCAAAGTCAAATACAAAAATAAAAGAAATATGCTGAAATGACAATGGTGTGATGGATTATTTATTTAACTGGATGATAGATAACTTCTTCACTTTATTTTCTAAATTTTCTCCATTGAATATATACTGTTTTATAATGGACAGGGTGACATTTTAAAAGCATACCTGCTCACCAGTAAAATTGTGCAAGGAGGACATGTTTTTTCCATCATAAATATAAACCTGTACAGAAAAAAAAAAAAGTATATGCATGAGGAACAGTAAAATAGAAGACAATGCAGAGATTTTCAAAAAAGAATTTAATTTTCCTACCATTCCCAAAGTCCTTGCTGCTCTTGGAACTCCAGAAACAAAGTCTGGGGGAAAAAAACACAAGAAACCTTAATTACTAATTTTAATGAGTATATTTGGAAATTGCCATAGGAAATGACTTTCAAATAGCTCTACATATTGATAGGATATAAACAACAGACTTTTAAAAATTGGTACTTCATAACAACCCCCTAATTTTAAACTATAAAATGAAAATTTACAAAAATACAATGATTTTCAAGAATATGCGAATAAACCCTCAAGTCATTTGTACTCTTGTAAAACAAAGAAAAAGTAAAGGGACCTAGGAATGAAGAAAAGTATGATTTACAGTAATAAGAAATAACAACAAACCAAAATGGGAAAGAAGTAACAGTGGCAAAAAAAAAAGCTCCCAAAATGAAGGAAAACTCTGTGATTCCTACGTTGGGCTCATAAAGATAAATGGATAAAAAGAAGAAAGGATAACACTCCAGACATTACATATTATACCTAAAGAAAGAAGAAACTAAGTCTTTCCAAGAAAACAAAAAGGAAGCTGATAGAAACCGCTGACAGTGCTGGGGGTCGGGAAATAGCGGAGGGGAAAGAGCCTGAGGCCAAGAGCAGGGTCTCAGTTTCAGCAACCGCTAGAGGAAGTCTGACAGAACAGGTTTGGCCTTGCCTGCATGTACTAACGTCTCTCTCACTTTTTCCGTATATTCCCTAATGACAGTTTCAGAACTCCTGAGTTGCTGAAAATTTCAAATTCTTCATCCAAACTTAAAACAAAATAAGTATAGTTCAAGTGCTTCATACCATCTACGCCATCACCACTGAAATCTCCAACAGCTACCGAATAACCTACATGGAGAACGAAACGTGAGAGAGCATCAGGACACAAATAGTTACCGTCAGTGTGCCTACTGGGTAGGTTCTCCTTGAAGGTATTTTCAACTCCTCTAACTATGTAATAGTTTGGCCTTTTGGGGTAACAGATAAACAAGTGTATAATAAATAAATCTTAAAGAAAATAATCGAGCTAAATACTCAAATAGCATAACTCTATCAGAAAAATAAGATTGTTTGATTAACTTCTGAAAAAGTCTATTAAAAAGGATAAATTTGTAATGTATCATAAGGGAATAACAAATACCAGCAAGTACAATTTCTCTCATGTGCGTCTTGTTTAAATAAATGAAAGAAAAATGTAAAGAGAAAGAAAATCATGCTATTATTCCTAAAGTCCAAAACTATAGCTTGACAAAGTGAACAAAGTTCAGGAGTCAGGCCACTTGGGTTTGATCATCTCAGCACAGAGAGTCACTAGTGACTGACTTGAGGCCTGTTGTTTTGCCTCCGTGCCTCAGTGTTTCCCTCTACAAAATGGAAATAATAACAGCAAACTTTAACAGGTCTGTCATGAGGATTAAATGAGTTAATACAGATAAAGTACTTGGAACAATGCCCAGAACAGAACAATTATATCTTAATGTTAGCTATCATTAACACTGCATAAGTAATCTCTTTATCAAATTATAATTTTTTAAATGTAACATAATCTAAGTACTCGACAGCAATTTGAAATTATACATTCCTCTCTTTAAAAAAATCGTAATCTATATAACATAAAAGTTTTCTACTTAAAGTTACATATACAAATATAAGACAAATACACCACAACTCCGCAAAATAAACTCATGTCTTGGTTTTACCTACCCAAATAACTGTCATCGAAAATGGCTTGTGCAGTCCGAGTTGCTAATTGGTTATTATACTTGATGCTGTAAACTTTGGGGTCATATTTAGATACAATTTCTGCCACTTGATCCGAAATGAGCTGACCTAGAAAAAAATATATATATATATATAACAAATGATAACTTTCTAACGAGAACATCATGATGCAAGCAATGGAAAGTACCTGCATGGAAGAAAACAGTATTAGATACTAGTAATTCCTAATTATGAGTCTTAATTAACGCTCCCTTCTAAAATTTGACATTTTAAAAATTACAATTATTTCTAATCAAATCAGTACTTGAAATCATTGTCTGTTAATAAAAAAATTAAGAATGGATAATCTGTCTTAATTTGCACAAATAAAAAAATCAATGTTAAATAAACAGAGTAATAATACTACTATTTCCCAACAAAATCCATTACAACTTTAAAAAAATTTACCGAAACAAGTTCATTATCTTCATAATAAGAATAACTGGTTAAATTGATTTTTTAAAAAAACTATTGGGTTGTCGAGAAAATCACAGCACACTTTTTGCTTAGAAAAACAGAAAAATATGTCACTACTTCCCCAACAACTTAATATTTATTTGCCATGAAGCAACCTAAATGGGTGAGTTCGCTTTTGTTCATGGTCTTAAATTACTAGGTAGACAAGTAATCTAGGTGACTACCCAAAAATCAGGCTATCCTTCACCTCAAGAAAAGTTAGCTGATTTATCAAATGTCAGTCTCTTTACTTTTGCAATTTTAGACAGAAATTCACAAGAGCTCAATTTTCAGTCGCTTTCCAATTTGTCCAGTCATGTAGACTGAGGATATAGTAGGGGTACCCAATTCCCAGGACCCGTCCATGGCTTGTTAGGAAATGGGCCACACAGCAAGAGGTGAGCAGAGGGTGAGTGAGTGAAGCTTTGTCTGTATTTACAGCCACTCCCCATCGCTCACACTGCCAGTCAGCTGTGGCATTAGATCCTTGTAAGATACTGAACCCTATTGTGAACTGCACCTGCAAGGGCTCTAGGTTTCCATATCTTATGAGAAACTAATGCCTGATGGGACCAGCAGTTAGCATAACGGCTATGTCGCTGGACTCCCACATAGTCGACCATGGTTCAAGTCCCAGACTTGGTGGCTTAAAACTTACACCGGGCACGTGTGCATGCATGCCCAAGATCCCGAGAGAAAAGTGGAAGAGAAGGGATTGCAGCGTGGCCATTCCCCCTGGGGGGTGGTTTCTCACTTTCTGTCTCTCTGTCTGTCTCTGTCTGTCTCTGTCTGTCTGGCGAGTGCACACACCCTATAGCAAAAACCTCTGCCCCCAAAAAATAAATAAATAAGAAATTAACGCCTGATGATCTGAGGTGGAGCTGAGGCGTTACGCTAGTGGTGGGGAGCAGCTGCAGATACCACATTATGATGAGTTGTATAATTATTTCATTATATATTACAACATGATAGTAATAGAAATAAAGTGTACAATAAATATAATGCACTTGATTCATCCTGAAACCACCCCACCCCCACCTACCACTCCACCCCAAGTCTGTGGAAAAATTGTCTTCCACGGAACCAGTCCCTGGTTCCAGAAAAGTTGAGGACCACTGGTCTATAGGAGAGAAACACTTTCTGTCTAGGTGACTACTTTATCCTCTGTGCCTAAACAGTATCAAAAACATAGGAGAGGGACCAGCAGTTAGCGTAATGGCTATGTCGCTGGATTCCTATGTAGCCGACAATGATTTGAGTCCCGGACCTGGTGGCTTAAACTCATGCTGGGCACGTGTGCGTGCATGCCCAAGATCCCAGGAGGAGAATGGAGGAGAAGAGATTGCGGCGTGACCATCCCCCCTGGGGGGTGATTTCTCGCTTTCTATCTCTCTGTCTCTCTCTGTCTTTCTGGCAGGCGGACGCGCCCTATAGCAAAAACCTCTCAAAAAAAAAAAAAAAAAAA